CGGCCTAAAACTTCAGAACAAGGATGAGACGGTGACTTTATTTTTGACATTGCTTTCTTGATCCTGCATACTCATGAGTCTGCTCAGTTTTTCAACATAAAAGCCATCTACCCTGGATCTCTCCCCTGTCCACACCTCATGGTCACAGTTCAGCGCCGGGAGTCTGGGCTGTTTCCACCCACAGCGTGGCTCTGCGCCCTGCCCAGCTGTAGGCTTCCTTTGCTGTCCTGCCCTCAACCTGAGCATCACTGCTTCCCTGTCTTATTGTGCAGACCTCTTTAGCCTCCAGCCACTGTGTCTGCGGGTTTCTCCATAAACAATACTACTAGCCTTGTTTTAGTTCCTTTTCTCCTCCAGGGGACAAAATATCTGATGCAATTTAAAGGAAGAGAGGTTTATTTCGGCTCAGGTTGTAGAGGTTTAGGTCTGTGGCTGGCCTGGGGGAGCAGAGCTGGGGAGATCAGAGCATGACTTAGGGATAGGGAGACAGACACCCTACCAGGCCACACGCCAGTGACCCACCTCTTCCATCCAGCTGACCCTCTGAACTGCGGGCCAGCCCAGCGCCCCACAAAGGTGACCTTCCAAGAGTCCCAGCCAGGAGCGTGGGAGGCCTTGGGGGCCGCTGTAGATAGAAACCATAAGCCCTACCTAGTCTTAAAGTTCCAGTGACCAGGATTCCCCGCTTCCTTCCTGTCCAATGGGTAATCTTCTCTAATCTCCCCCACTGTGCCCAGGGCCCATTTATTTACCTCCTTTTCAGCGTCAAAGCTCCCATCCTTTGCCCCCTAGTTAGTGCATTAGCTTCTTATAGGTGATTGAAGCCATGCATTTGTTTCGGAAGGTAGAACTGGGGGTGGAAATGGCCAGTTCCGTCATGGACATGACGGGTAAAACAGGAGTTTGGGAATCTCTTCCAGGATCACTCTCCGCAGGTGTACCAGCACTGTGACGTTTAGTAACGTGGGCAAGGGGAGCTCGCGTGTTGAGCGGGGACTAAAGCTGGCAGCGAGCTCTGGTCCTCGGCGTGGGCGGAACGGTGTTGAAGTCTCTATTTATTCTCGAGGTTTTTATTTATTTGTCTGATGCAGCTTTCCATGCCAGATTCTCTAAATTCATTAAAACAAGCCATGGGCCCCATTATGTTATTATTGTTACGCTCCGTCGTGGTTAACCCTGAAGAGCACGCAACGTTATTGGATTTGGGGCACTGATTCATTGTATAGTACAAAGTTTATGGGAAAAAGTCTTTGGAAATTCATCGCCTTTGTCCATAGAAGAGGAAAGGCAGCAGGACAAAAGAAACGGGAAAAAATGTTGAGGCAGCAGGGGAAATTTTTGATGAGCCCTCTGCAACTTTTTAAAGAATGGCTCTGAATTGTCCCCCGCCCCCCTCCTTGGAATCAAACCCAAGACCTTGCGCTTGCCTGGCAGGGCTTGTGCCGTTGAGCTATATCCCCGCCCACCCTTGGTAGGCTCGATTATTTTTGCAGTATACAGTAGATGTGAAACAAAGAGTTGCCGATCAACTCTGCATGTTATGCTAGAAGGAAAAGCCACCACGGGTGTAGACGCAGTGCCCCTTTCTCCTCCCGCCCAGCTGAAGCCTCCTCCCAGGGTGTGGCGCGCTAGCTCAGGAGGTGCAGCAGGAACAGACACCTCTCGGGACAGCAGGCCGCAGACACTCTGCTTGTCCCCCTCCGCTGCCGGTCTCCTGCACGTCTGGGCCTCTGTGACACTCTGCAAGTGCCCACACTTGCAGAAATATGCCGTGCGAGCGTCCTCAAGCCTTGCACCTTAAATTATTCATGGGCTGCAGTGCATTGTCTAAGATGATATTTCCCTAATTTAAAAAAAGCTGGATAAGAACATTAATATTTAATGTTTTATTATTATAATATTTGGATGTTTTATGAAGAAATCAGTATTTCAGAGTTATGAGAGTCATAAAAATTCCATTTGTTTTTTGAAGAAACTTCGGAAAGATCCTCACTTTATTGAAAGGAAAATTGAACAGCAGATTAGGATTTTTTTTAAAAAATTCACTTTCCATCATATTACTAGTGTTGGAGATGTTACTACCTAGACAGCAAAACATTTTTTTTCTTTCAGATTTTCTCAGAGTAAATTCTCTATTCTGAGTAGATGTTTAACTTTGGAGTGTTTTATCTTCAGTGGCACCTAGAGATGTCTGAGTTTCAGAATTACTATGTCATGGCGTGTTGTTCATCGCCTTCTCCCTGAGAACATGCTTTCTTCTTCTGGTCTTACTTTTCCAGCTTTAATTATGTAGGGTAGCTGGGTGATGAGTTTATTCAGCTTGCCCTTTTAATTGGTGAGATGAAATTGCAACAACCCACAGTGTTCTGGTTTTCTGAAAATTACTACTGTAAAGACTCAAGCCTATTGCCATTCTTTTAAAAAAAAAAAAATGTGAGCTGTATCTTTTTTAAGCCCTGAAAATTGAACCTCTGTCACTGCATCACATCTGTAGCATTTTAAAAAATTTTTTTATTTTGAAGCTGGATGTGGTGATACATGCCTGTAATCCCAGCATTCAGGAAGCTGAGGCAGGAGGATTGCTGTGAGTTTTGAGGCCAGCTTGAGTTACATAGTGAGTTCAAGGATAGCTTAAAGGAGACCTTGTCTCCAAACAAACAGACAGTCTTATTTTGAGACAGTGTCTTACTAGTTTGCCTGGGCTGGACTTGCACTTGTGAGCCTCCTGCTTCAGCCTTGTGAGTATCTGAGATTCCAGGTGTGCACTACTCACGCCAGCTGGAGCATGTCTTTCATTTTTTCTTTTATTATAATTTTCCACCAGTTCTCTATAAAGGGAGTCCATGGACAGAGTAAGCCTGGACTGTGTTAGATTAGTGCACTTAACAGGTGACATCAGTAAGTACACTGAGTGAATTCCTGTCGGTTACTGATACAGTTTGCATTAATTTCTCTAACTTTCTCAGCTTCTGGTTTAATAAATTCAGATGTAAATAACCATGTTTGTGGATCTGAGTCAAATCTGAGATAAGAAACTATAAGTCCCAATTCATTTTGGAGCATACTGGTAAAGTTTCTTTCATCACTGTTGTTTACGGGACAGGTCTCACTGTGTAGTGCAGGCTGGCCTTGTGCTCACCATGTATCCCAGGCTGTTCTCGAGCTCGTGGAGACCCTCCTACCTCAGCCTCCGAGTGCTGGGATTGCAACCATATCCAGTGAAACACTTAGGCCTGGGGCAGGCTGCATGGTTGACTCAACCCGCGCTCCTCACACCCCTCCTGGCTTGAATTCCTTTCCTGTCCAGAGCTGACCTCTCACTTTCCTTATTCTCTTGAAGCTGGAGTGCAGGAATGGGACCTAGGCTCTGCCAGTGGGCTTTCTCGTTGGATTTGGCTGCCGAACTGAGGGATGTTAGGCAGCAATTATGTGGGTGGGTTACCTGTGGGCGAGTCCAGCAGCCCTGGTCTCTTACACTTCTCAGCAAGGGTTAGGGTGACGCTTGGCCTCAATTTGTGCATGATCGGAGGTGGCCAGCAGGTGGCAGCAGTGGCAGGGTGTCACAGGCAGTCATGGTCCCATGTGGGTAGCAGGTAAACTTACTCTTGCTCCCTTAGAGATTCTGTGTCTTTGGTAATTTTTTTTTTCTTAATATAACTGGGGTGGATCTCGTTGTTTGCCTATAAGAGCTCCAGAATTGTTTTTGTATCCATTTTGCAAAGGCACTGAGTCGGTTCGGTGGTGAGAAATTCTCCCAAATTCTGGCAGTGGTTCAAGCCTGTGTGTCCCTCACCAGAATTTATGCCGTGCGTTGGAACTCTGGAACTGAGGTTGAGGACGTTCCCCATTTTAAAGTGAATACAAGAGAAAACCTTTCATGCTTTTGCTACTTCCCAGCACTCATGGGCTTTGAGCATCGGTTTCTCCAAACACTTCAGCCAACAAAGCAGGAACCGAGCCACTCAGGATTTCCCAGCACCATGAAATCCAAAGGAGACTGGGAGACCAGAGGCACCATGAATCCGTGACTGCGGATGTGGCACCTGGAATCGGGAAGGCAGTCAAGACAGGCACACGAGGCCAGGCACGAGGGAAATCATCAGTTTTGGAAATGATTAGTGTTAGACCTCCACTCAGCCTCCACCAATGTGAGCTCACCTTGGGCTCCGATGACGGGTCTGCTGCTTTCAATTCAGTTTTCCAAGTTGCTAATGTTTTTCTAAGACATGGATTGCAGTTTTGCATGAAAACTATGTTGTTCAGCGGGGCGTGGTGGCACACCTGTAATCCCAGCACTTGAGAGGCTGAGGCAGAGGATCAATGTGAGTTTGAGACCAGCCTGGGCTACAAAGTGAGCTCAAGGCCAACCTAAACTGCATAGCAAGACCCTGTCTCAAAAAATCAAAATAAACAAACAAACAAAAAAACACAAACCACTGTGATATTCAACTATTGGCAGCTGAATGAAGCCTGATAGCTCTGGGTTGATGGCCAGAGTTCCTTACCATGGTCCCTGAATTGACATTAATGTCCTGGGGCCGCCGCCATGAACCCCACTTTCATCAGGCCAGCAGATTGTGTGTGGCAGGTTCAGAAGCAGCGTGAGCAGAAAAACCTTCACCTTTTCCTCCCCCACCAACCCCGTACTCACCCATTGAAGTCTCACTTACATGTCTCACAGATGTTTTCCGTAATTTGCCTTCTGGCCTGCCAGGGGCAAGTGTCTCTAATGTCAGACATGCCCAGTATCATCTCAGTCACTGTCTTCCCATCCAGTGGGCTGCTCAGCAGACAAAGAGTAGTGGCCACTCATGGGCCTGCTGGTCACCAAACGTCCTAGTGTTTTCGAAGCCAGCACAGGCCCCGCTTCCATCTTCCAGGAGCGCAGGTTCTGATGGGAGACAGAGAAGCTAAGCCACGCTCCTGGGAGAGGCTGAGGAGGGAAAGGCCAGGCAGTCTCCTAAGAGAAGGTCATTGTCATCGGCGTGTCTGCAGAGCCTTTAATACAGGGTACGAGGTGGCAGGTGATTGAAATGATTATTGAAATGAGTTGTCTCTAGTTAAAAGCTCTACTCATCTGAGAGTTGGGGATACTTCAATATTATTTTTAATTCTTTCAGAATAAATCCTCTCCACTCTGTGTGGTGGCACATGCTTGTAATCCCAGTACTTGCTAGGCTGAGGCAAGAGGGTCGCCTTGAGTTTGAAGCCGGCCTGAACTACCTAGCAAGACCCTGTTTCAAAAGAAAGAAAGAAAAGCCTCTAGTGTTACTTGGTTTGCACAGTTTCTTTGCTCACTGTAACAGTCATTAATAAAATAGTGTTAATAGGAGGCCTACTGCATATGAGACCTGTGCCAGGGCCAACCCAGGCCCCATGGGTTCGGCAAGCCATGGCCCATGATAGGGTCCACCTCATGTGTCTACTGGGAGATTTGGTCATGAAACAAATCCCTGCACAAAGACCAGTAGTCGTGCTGTGGAGGCAGGTTTTGATGGGAGTGAACAACCGGATGTGTGAACAGAGGTCTCTCCCTGCACAGAGCACACAGTGCATGAAACACAGTTCTTAAAAAGTGCTCTCGGTTAGGCATGGGTAATGGAAGCTAGAGCGTGACTAGACTGAGGGCAAGCACACTTTATGAGGAAAGCAGGTAGGAGACGCACTTTGGGGAGAACAGCAGCCGGGCAGGTGGGCAGGTGGGCAGGCGGGGGGGGGGCATGTCCACCCCTGCCTCTGCTCACTGGGAGGATCTGCGGAAGCCCCTCTTGTGCCCTTGGCATGGACCTGCAAGGAGCTCACTGGCCACTGCTGAAAGCGGTCTCCTGCCCCAAGACTTCCTATCGGCCGCCGTGGCCATGTGCTGTCTGGGGACATTGGACACGTTGGAGACCCTCTGAAAGGAGCATTCACGATGCCATTCAGAACGTCTAGTTCAGGGTGCATTCTGAATCGGATCACACAAGAAGCTCTTTGTGGCCTTCAGCAGCTGCAGAGAGAAGAGCTGGTTTTGGGGGCTGGGGCTGGGGTGCCCAGCACTGGTTCCGTGGAGCCGTGATGTTCAGAGCTGGAGTAAGCCCACGCAGGAGGAGGTCGGGCTGTATGGATGAAGGGGAAAGGGAGGCTACAGGGAGAGAAGTGAATTCTGTCTGTTTCGGCTTGGGGTATCGCCACGTGCTTCCCCCTGTGGAGGTGGCCAGGGATTTATCTTAATAATGAACGTGATATATTGTGCGGAGTCCGTGGCGGATCTTGCTCTCCAGTGGGGTGCCGTTGGTGAGTATTTCTCTTGGGAAAGCAGCTGTCATCATTCAGTCCCTGCCGGGTTAAAGGAGGTTGTGCATCAGCGCCTAGGAAATTCGGGGAAGTGCAGGTATTTCAAACCACCCTCAACAGCTTATGCGGACCCGTCCCTGAATGCAGTTTGTGAAGAGAAACCATAGCAGCTTCATTGAAACTTGTTGTGTACATGGCAGGAGGTACCAGGGTCAGACCCAGGACCTTGTGTGCCAGGCAAGCACTCTACCTTTGGGCTACCCCACCACCTCCAAACCTGATTTTTAGCATGTAGTGATCTACTAGATTGCGACATACAGATCAGATGTACTGATAAAATGCGATGAATGTCACTCTTCAAAGCTGCCGTAAGATGCCCACTTTGGTAAGATCCTGTTTATTTTTCTCCCCAGATGTCTTACTTTCTGTTCTCCTTCAAGCAAGGAGATAATGATTGTCTCTTGATTGTGGGTCAAAATCTTAGATGGATTTTATGCCTGCCTGCCTTTCTTTCTTTCTTTCTTTCTTTCTTTCTTTCTTTCTTCTCTCTCTCTCTCTCTCTCTCTCTCTCTCTCTCTCTCTCTCTCTCTCTCTTCTTTTGAGGCAGGGTCTTGCTATGTAGTTCAAGTTGGCCTCAAACTCCAGAGTGCTAGGATTACTGATGTGCACAACCACACCTGGCTTTTCATCTTTTTTCATTAAAATAAAACAAAACAAACAATGGCCTAGATATGAAGTGTCTACAGTTGTTATTAAAGTTCTAAGCTTCAAACCAGGTGAAGGGTGCCCATTTGGAATCCTAGCTACCTACCTGGATGCTGAAGTAGGAGGATCAGAGTTCAAGGTCAGCCTTAGGAAGACCCTCCCTCAAAACAGGCAGAGCTGCGATGCAGCTCAGCAGGGCAGCACTTGCTTAGTGCACTGGAGGCCCCGGGCAGTCTTGAGTCCCGCCTGCCCCCTGTGACTTCTCACTGCAGGCTAACAGGACCGGCAGGCGTGTGAAGACTGCGGCTCTTCACCTTTCCTAGCATTACTTTTAATTGCTAAATTGTAAAAAAAAAAAAACGTTCTTTTTCTCTGTTTCCTGTTTTGTGCCTCCGTGCTGCCGCGTGGGAGAGGCTAAGGGTACCATTTTTACAGACTCGGAAGCCGCTGTACTACTAGCATTATTCTGATTGCCATCTGATTTCTCAGGGTCCTATGTGGACCTCACTGGGTGGGCTCAGCAATCAGCACACCCTCCTCTCCTGCCAACGGTGCCCTAACTGTATTGCCCTCTAGGAAGGGGAATGCTGAACGTGGAGCGCCTTCTGTGAAATCCTTGCTTTAGGAACATTGATTCCTGGACTTTAGAGATACTGGTAAATAGGTCTCCATATAATAATTGATGTTTTTATTTATGTTGCTCGCACTTATATTTTTCCCCCCTAGACAAGGTCTTTCTATGTAGTTTAGGCTGGTTCTGAACTCACTATGTCATTCAGACTGTCCTTGAACTCCCAGAGATCCTCCTGCCTTGACCTCCCAATGCTGCAATGATAGGCATGTGCCACCATGGCTGGCTTGTTGTTTACTCATTAAAAATAGGCCTACCTTTCTCAATTGCAAAGACAAATCTGTGAAAGAGTATGAAAACCTGAGTTTATACAAGGTCTCTTAACTTAAAAAGTCTTTGACCAGATAATGAAAGTTCTGTGCTTTCTAGATGAATTTCAAATATCTCTTTCCTCCTGGCTGACCTTCCTCGTTCCTGGGCCTCACCTCCAGCATAATTCCAATGCTCATAGCATTCACTCTTCATGAGGAACTGTGGCTTCCCTGTTTGAAGAGGTCAGCTGTCTTCAGAATTTAAGAATATATATATATATATATGTATATATATAAAATATATGTAATATAATATATAAGAATATATATAAATATATATTTATATATATTTAAAACCCACTCATTACATAAGAGTGTTCCTTCTCTAGATTAACCTTTCCCATTATCAGAAAACCCAATAACAGATTTTTAGTATAAATATAGCTCTCCGTCCGCCAGCACAGCTAAGTGGCCTAGCGCACTTGTGACTCTGCGGGCGAACCGTAGGCTTCATGGACATCACGGTGTCCCCCTCAGCACGGAGATGACACCCCCATGCTGCAGTCTTTATTGAGGAGTCTTCCTTTGCTCCTCATTTTTTTGCTACCTAGAAAATTCTCCTCCAGCCTGTATTCCTCCTAGGTTTTGTGGCACCATCCATCAAGCAGGCCCTTAATATCCCATTTTAAAAATGCGAGCTCTCTTGCAGCACTGTGGCTCCTCAAATGACTCCTTTCAATTAGATCTGTGGGATCCTTGCCGTATCCTGGGCTTTCCTTCCACAGTGAGGTCTTCATTTTTTATCCCTAGAGATCTCAGAAGAAAAGTTGTGTCTATTTTTTTTCTTTCGAATTTTAAATTTCATTTCCCTTCAGTTATTTTGTGCTAAGAATATACCATTTAATGAACTCAAACAGCATGGAAAATACATTTTAATTTTAAAAGTAATTGAAAGCGATTCTGTTTCTAAAATGTGCCAGACCCTTCCTAGGCATTGGGAATGAGAGACGAGCTAACTGTACAGCTGAGCTGATTGACATGTAGGTCTCCTGATACACGTTGTTTCTCTCCTGAAGTGAGCCTTTCTGTACCTGACACAGGCTTTGTAGAGCAATTAGGTGAATCAGGCCTACTTGGATGGGTGGGTTAGCGCTGTACAACATCATGAAGAATAACTGACTCAAGTATAAGAGGCTTACAGTGAATGAAATGATTCATTCTCCTCCTGCAAGACAGGCACATTCAGGTCTGAGGACATTACCTTTGAAATAAAAAGTTACAAAAGCCTCTCGGAGCAGTGGTTCCCAAAGAACATTAACCATTGTAACTTGACGAGGGAGTAGAGGTGCTCCGGGCGCATAGGTCGGGGCTCACACCTGTAAGAGACGTGCACTGCACAGAGGAGGCCAACAGGGCCCTGGTCCCGGGCCCTGTGCGCTCGGGCGGAGGACTGCAAAGGCTGAGCTCAGTGCTGAGCAGCGCCGACCCCTTCTGCAGATTAGCACTCATGAGGCTGAAGGAGCAGACTGGGTGTTCCTTACAACTAACTCTCCTGATTCTTTGCTTTGTAGAGCCTTGAAGGCTGTCCCTGTTGACCTCCCAGCACATATATCCTTATTTGCTATTAATCCCACCCCTTCGCAGAGCGTTCCCCACGGACCACCCCATTCTGTCACCCGGACAGGACAGTGGCAGGATGGTCCCTGCACCTGGGGCGCTGTGCCCTTCTAGCTTGGCTGGCTCGGCTGGACTTTGGGTGCGGTGTCAGCTGGACTCCCTTTGTCCTTTGGACTTCTGATTGAGCTTTTCTTTCTTTCTTTCTTTCTTTCTTTCTTTCTTTCTTTCTTTCTTTCTTTCACCCACCATGTCTTTTGTGTGTCTTTCACGTGTTCAACACTCATTACATGAGTATCATGGCTTGACTAAGCTAGCCACGGTGACAGCAGATGTTTTGAAATGCATAGAACAGATGGCAGCAGAGGTATTGGATTAAATTATTAACTAGGATTTGCACGGAAGCCTTTGGTGTGACACATGCCCAGCGGAGGGTGATCCTCAGCATCAAAATGAACCGCCCAGTTGGTGCAGATCGAGTTGCTTCTAAGGAACTGATACTGGAGGTGCGTCGCTCCTCTCCCACTTGGGCTGACGAGGAGCAAGTCCCATTTGTCCTTTACAGTGTGTCAGATGATTCATCATTAAAAATTAATTCAGAGGCAGAAGAAGGAACAGATCATTGTACTGATGAGGATCTGGATACGGTGCTTTCTAATGTTCTTTTGTGAAATAACTTCATTCATGGACACTTAAAATAATGCTTCATGGCTGATGTCACCAGGCCCATGTGTTCTGTGGACAGCATCCCCACACCGTTGTGTGTGAAACGTACCCCATGTGTTTTAAGAAAATCATGTTGTTAATGTGACAGTTCCTATAACCTCTTACTACTAAGTATACACATTATATTTTCTTGACCCAGAAAGCTTGTGTTTATTATGTAATAGTTTCCAGTTAGCCTAAAAAGTTCAAGAACGAATGAATAAGGATAAATGAGGGTGTCGAGGGGTTTAAAAATTCAGTAGGTTAACCATACATAAAGACAGCAAGCAAATCTAAATTAGTCATGTTAAAATCAATTTTTAAAGTAACTTATAGAAAATTACAGTAATAAGCAGTAAAGATACCATTTGCAGATAAGGCAAGGCTGTGGAATTGTTCCACTTTAAGAGTTAAGGTTCCTTTCAGAAATGCTTGGAATAATCATTTAGTGTCCAATACGATCAGAAAAGCACTGTTATGTCTGAGTTTTCCTTCTTGTTCATCTTTCTTCAATTTACAGGAACATAGTAATCATTGATTATATATTTCACTTTCAATTGATCAAGAATTCAGAATAGGTATATGCATTCTGCAACAAAACTGTGACTCATTTCTGCATGTGTACAGGATTTGAAAATGTTCTATCGTACTATGTTTTTGCTTAACAATGTAAAAATCTTTGGACTCAAAATGAAAACTTTTTTTTTTTTGGCAGTGCTGGGATTGAGCCCAGGGACACCCCACTGAATGATATTCCTCAACCGTTTTTATTTTTTATTTTTTGGAGACAGAGCTTTGCCAGGTTGCCCAGGCTATCCTTAAACTTGCGGTTGTCCTGCCTCAGCCTCTAGAATAGGTAGGACTGCATGTGTGTGTCACCCTGCCCAGTTCAAAATGAAGACTTTTAATACCTGACAGGGCTTAATACACAGAGGAAGTCTGCAGTCGTGTGTCGGTGGGAGGGGCAGGTGCAAATCTCTGGTTCTGCAAACACTCTGTCGGATATCCCTTGCACAAACTGCGTGTAAGCAGTTCTTTGGTGTATGTGCAGCCCAAGCAGCACAAGCAGAAGTTGCTTTGATTCAGACCTTTTT